TCCGGCTTTTTCTGCTTATGTGGTGCTGAGGAATCGAACCCAGGGCCTCATGCTTGCAAGGCATGCACTCTACTGCTGAGCTACCTTCCCAGCCCTCATGGAGTAAATTGTCTATCATGATTTATAACATTTATGAGTTCTATGAGCTTTGACAATACAGTTATTGCTTCCACATTGGGTGGTATGTACATTTCTCTTGTTCCCTCTTTCCCACTTGTTCCCTCCCTCCCATCGCTGCCATTGAGTTGCTTAGCTCATTTTGATCAATGTCCAGTGCAGCTGATGGGTCCCACTGCTGTATGTTTTTCCCCTGATTCCCTCTAGTTCTGTGTCGTCTTCCTGGTTTCCCTCTGGTGTGCACATATATACCATATATGTGATCATCAGCATGGGGTTATTTAGTAGTGATTTGACCAGATGGGTGGAAGTCCTTTATTTCTTAAATCTTGTTAATTTTGTCATATCACCTTACATAACCCAGGGCCCCAGGCATGCAAGGCAAGCGCTCTACCACTGAGCCACCTTCCCAGCCCAGTATATTTCTTTTTTAAAAACAATGTCACCCCTTCCTTCACTTTTCTCCAGTTTCCCCCTCCCATCCCTGTCCACAAGTTACATAGGTCATTTTCCAGGTAGTGAGAAAGTATCTCTTTTTTGTTGCTATTTAATTAAATAAAAAAAATCCCTAAAAAACTTAATTCCTGATTTTTCTCTGGTTACTTGTGAGTAAGTAACCATGTATGGCCTGCAGTGGCTCTGTTACATAAAACAAATAGAGAACATTGTTGCAGAAGGTTGATTTGAACAGTGGAGGTCTAAAGCATTACTTCGTTTCTTTTTGTTGTTGTGTTGTGAGGCTTAAACTCTGGGCCTGAGCTGTCCCTGAGCTTTTCAGCTCAAGGTGAGCACTCCACTACTTGAGCCAGAGTGCCACTTCTAGTTTTCTGGTGGTTACTTGGAGATAAGAATCTCAGAGACAGCCAGGCTTTGGTGGCTCACACCTGTAATCCTAGCTACTCAGGAGGCTGAGATTGTGGTTCAAAGCCAGCCAGGGCAGGGAAGTCCATGAGACTCATCTTTAATAAACCACTCAGAAAACTGCAAGTGGCACTGTGGCTCAAGTTATAGAGTGTTTACCTTAAGCTGTAGAGCTGAGGGATAGCCCAGGCCCAGAGTTCAAGCCCCACCACCACCACCACCAACAACAAAAGAATCTCAGGGACTTTCCTTTCTGTACTGCAATCCTCGTATCTCAGCCTCCTGAATAACTAGGATTACAGGTATGAGCCACTGCACCTGGCTTAGTCTTTTTCTTATAAAAGATACCTTAGATAGGCACAGGTTGTGGTTATCAGGACACAGAGTATGTATGGTCTCTTTGCTCTTTGGGATGTGTTAAATGGAAAAGTCAGTGTCGTGGTTTATTTATTCTTTAAACTGAATGTTTGAATTTCAAGGATGAAGAAGATGATGATGACTATGTTGAAGAAGGAGAAGAAGAGGAGGAAGAAGGTGAGCTACAATAGCCACAAATTTTGAAATTAAAATGCAAATATGTTTAATGGTTTTCAACGAATAGTCTATAATGCAAACTATTACTTCTCTTTGAGTAATTTCTCAGGGCATTAATTCCACTAAAAAAAAAAAATTGAACATCTGATACCATATATCTTAAGAACAGCACCGACCTGGACACTGGTGGCTCATGCCTGTAATCCTAGGAGGTTGAGATCTGAGGATCAAGGTTCAAAATGAGCCAGGGCAAAAAAGTCCAGGAGACTTATCTCCAATTAACCAGCAAAAAGCTGAAAATAGAGC